GGGAGGGAGGGAGGGAGGGAGGGAGGGAGGGAGGGAGTCAGGGAGTCTCTGTAGCGACCCTTGGGTTGAAACCCACCTGAACACGGGTGCAGCTCAGCTGAAGCATGTGTGAGGGAGAGCATGCTGCTTAACTGCAATGCTCAAAAAATGCTCCAGAAGTGATGGAAGTTCCCCAAATCCATTTCTGCTGCAGATATGGAGTACTTTTTAAAATGACTTGTCCAGATGGTAACAATACAGATTTCTTTGGGTAAATCATTCTTGAGATGTTAAAAAAACAAAATCTCATTTTAGAGAAAATTTAACAGTCTGCTTCACTTAAGTATGATTTAGTTAAATAGTTAGGGATCCATTTCAAAAAACATAATCATTGCTAAACCTATCACCTTCATTTCTACTCAGAAATAATATTGTCCAGAGATTGTACAAAACCATAGGACCCATTCAGTGCAGCTTCCTAAATATAACTGCACTGAAAGGTTGGCATAAGCTACAGCTGTGTGCTGTGGACGGCTGTGGTCTACATGCTTCCCTTGGCACCACGTGGACTTTTCATTTCCTTGCCGTTGCCCTCCATGCCAGAGCTTGAGGAGCACTGTTGAGCCTGTTCAGATCTCCCCAGGACCAGCAAATGTCCTCCCTGCTCTCACCCATGTTCCTGATCTTAGCTAGAAGTAGGAATTGCCTGTGGCTTTACTCTGTTGATGTGGACTAGCACTGGGTGACGGATGTCCATAAATTCTACCATGAGTTAATCATTGCTGAGAACTGGAGTCATTTTCTAGAACTGGAAAGACCCTTGGCTGACCACCTTGATACAAGGAAACTGAATTGGAAAGGTTATGGTGCATCCATGAGAGACTGGAACAAGAGCAGGGTCTCTCAAAGCCCTTGCTCCTGTGCCTTCCTCTCCACCGTGACTTCCTGGGGTCTCATTGTGCTGAAATTCATGGAGTGGCCCAGTAACTACAGTAGCCTTTGCTCATACATTGGCGCTTTGGAATTGGACCAGGCAATCTGGGCCAAAGTCGGCAGCTGCTTTTCTGTAGTGTGTAGCTTCCTTTGCTCCTCCCACTTGACAGCATGCTTTACTCAAAGTGAACTTGATTTTCAGATAGGCCAGTGTGACAGGCAGAGAGAGCACCAGGTTTGAGTTCTGGTCACACCACTCTCTAGTTCTTACCTAACCTCCTCAGGCTCACTGGGCCTGTTTCTGCATCTTCAAAAATGAGACACAGTGCTCCCAGCCTGCTATGTTGATGGACTAAAAAGTGCTGGAGAGTACTTTCTTCCCTTTGAGGAAGTACACTTGAAGAAGGCAAAAGATCTTGGAAGGCTTTGTGGAAGGCTTTCATTTCCTGGCTGTTTGCTTCAGATAAGACTTTTTTCCCTGTCAGAGCACTTACATACTCACTTACTTTTGAGATTCTTTCTATAGTTATTCATTCGTGGAATAAGTTATGTACAGACATTTATTGAGCACCAGGTGTATGCAGGCAGTACAGATACAGGAGCCACTGTGGCAAAGGAGACAAAGAACTGCCTTCTTCTGGAAGGCCAGACAGTAAACAGAGACAAACAGTGATTACCACACAGAGGTGCTGCGTACACTACAGGGGAGGGAAGAGGTGGAGAGGAAGGGAGGAGGACTTCTCTCAGAAGGTTCACACCTGGAATCCTAGCACATAGGAGGGGCGCCAAGAGAGTGTAAGTTTGACACCAGCCTAGGCTATGTAGCAAGTCCCAGGGCCGCTTAAGCCATGTGGTGAGACCTTGTCTCAAACAAAAAGAAAGAAAAGATGTTCCAGAAAGTTCCTCTAAGGAATCACTGTTGACAGGCACATATACCTGCCAGATGACCACTGTTAGCACACATCTGAGGGCGGTGGTCTGAGGCAGCAGGTTTAGTATGTTTGCCCTGATAGCCATGTTCAATTTTGGCAACATGGGATTCAGAAAAGAAAACATTGGGAATTTTAGAGTAGAATGACCTGCTGTGATTTCCACTTTAGGAGGCCACGCCCCGGTTGTTCTGGTAGACCAGTTGTCTAGGGGTGAGAGTAGAAGGAAGGTCAGCCAGGAACTAACACACCAGGAGACGATGTCCTGGTGAAACAGGTGGTGATGAAGAGGGCCATCCTGTTGACGGCTCATTTCCTGTGAGGGCATGATCTGCTCACACAGTGCTAGTGCGCCTGTGGGTTTGGTCTAGCCTTTTCATCCACTCTAGACTGAGGGTCAGCCTCACAGTTGTCCTAAGTCTCTGAGAAAACAGCAAGGACCTCCTGGTGCTGAGGCAGGAGAAGGCTGCTGAGTTACCCAGACTGTTTCTTAACCCCCAGTGCTGACTTCTTTCAGGGAGCCCTTAGAAGCGTACATCTACTTTGGACCCGTGTACTACCAGAAGCTGAAGCACATGGTGCTGGATAAGATGCACGCCCGGGCCCGGGGACCACGCGCCGTGCTCACCAGGTAAGAGAAGTGATTGATGCTGCAGTCAAGTCGTCGGACGCTTGTCTGTGGGATAAACAGTCCCAGCAGAACTCCTGTTTCCCTTAAGAGATCCACATTTGGGTGTGTTAGACACATTGCCTTATCCCTTTCTATTGCTGTGATTAAAAACACCATGACCAAAGGCAGCTTGAGCAGGAGAGAATTCTTAGGACTCTCAGGCAGCACCATCACTGACAGAAGCCCGGACAGGAATTCAAGGCAGGAACTGAAGCAGAGACCATAGAGCTGCTTACTATCTTGCACCTCATGGCTTGCTCAGCCTGATACCACTCAGGACTACCTGCCTAAGAACATCACCACCCACAGTGAGCGGGGACCCTCCTACATCATTCATTAATCAAGAAAATGTCCAAGCTTGCCTACAGGCCAGTCTTAAGGAGGCTTTTTCTCAATTGAGGTCTTTCCTCTCAGAAGACTGTAGCATATGTCATGTTGGGAAAAAAAACAAACAAAAAAGTAGCCAGCACAATTGATCCCTTGTGAACTTCAACCATAACTTTTACTTTCTCATCTGTCCCAAGGATGTCGTATTAATATTAATATCAATATCACAATATAAAACATCCCACCTTTTAAAAGTTCCATGGTCTTTAAAAATTCAAAGTTTCTCTAAAATTCCAAAGTCTCCCAGCTGTAAGCTCCTGTAAAACCTAAAAGAAGGTAAACACTCGGTTACTCCAGGAGGGAAGATCGGCAGAGCCACAGGCCAGTCAGCTCAGAGCCTGTTGTCAGTGTTGTGGTGAGTGGCTTTCTGTAGATGTAGGTCTGTTTCCATAGGTTCAACATGCAGAGCAAAGAGATTGGGGAAAATAAAATTGTACCAAAGGCAGTGAGATGCTCCATGGGTAAGGCTGCCTCCGGATCCTATCTCCCCGAAGTCCTCGTCACGGATGGTGGTACCTGCTTCACAGAGTGATAGTACTACAGACCGAATACCAGGCACATGACAGATGTTTGATGGCTATCTAGGCCTCTCATTTTCACTGATCATGCTGGATAAATGGGAAGAAAACGGGGCAGCCACCATTTGGCTTTGCTTTTTGAAAGCCAAACTCAGTCTTGAGCATAACTTGAACAGATGCAGTGCCTATTAAAACTATAGATGTGTGTGTGTGTGTGTGTGTGTGTGTGTGTGTGTGTGTGTGTGTGTGTGTGTGTGTGTGCGTGTGCGCGCGCGCGCGCTTCAAAATGCTGGAAAGGGTCTGGAGAGATGGCTTAGTGGTTAAGAGCACTTGTTACTCTTGCAGAGGACCTGGATTCAATTGCCAGCACTCACATGGTAGTTCACAACCATCCATAACTCCAGTTCTAGGGGATCCCACACCCTTTTTTGATCTCTGAAGGCACCAGGAACACACATGGTGTACATATGTGCAGCAAAACACTCATGCATAAGATAGAATAATCTTCTTTAAATGTTTTTAAAGATGAAAAGGGAAGAAGAGCTAAGATTCTCTAGGTAGTTGTTGCCTGAGCAGTAAGACCGCCAGGGGCCAGGTGTTGTCCCTTCTGATCAGTTATAGTGTCCCTTTTCAACATGGAGCTTGTCTGGGACAGTTGACCATAGTCAGTTATCTCAGGCTGATGAAGTGCAAGCGTGGAGACCGCCCATATGTAGATGACCACCGTCACCTGTCCAGCCATCTCCAGTGGAGAGAGTGCCTGTCCATGGTGCATCTGCCAGCAGATAAAAATGGGGAAGGTTGTGTTCATGGTGACGTTTCCTCCACGGAGTGCTCCTCCAGACCTTTTAGTTAGCTTTTCATTTGTAGCTTTTTCTGTCAAATAATCTGCTCTTCATTTGATTTCTCTTGGTAACACCCAGCTATAACAAGCAACATGAACATTTCAGCGTATGTTGGGAGGCACTGTGTTCACTGTGTCATGGGGAGTCCATTCAAGGAAGTAGCAGGCCGTGGGGCTGTTCTGGTTTGCTTTCTGCTATAGCTATAAAATACTGACTAGAACCAACTTGGGGAGGAAAGGTTTATTTGGCTTACAGGTTACAGTTATCCCCCAGGGGAGCCAAGGCAGGAACTGCAGAGGAACACTGCTTACTGGCTTGCTTCCCCTGGGTGCTCAGTTTCCTACCTGCCCAGGGATGGCACTGTCCATACAGGCTGGGCTCTCCCACATCAATCAGCAATTTAAAAAATAAAAAAAAAAAAAAATGGTCCACAGAGATGTGCACAGTCTAATTTGATGGAGGCAATTCTTCATTTGACATTCCCTGTTCCCTGGGTGGGTCTAGGTTCTCAGCAAGTTCACAAAAGCTAAGCAGCACAGAGCCCTTGCAGGAGCTACTGGAGACCTATGTTTCTTCATCGTCTAAGTCTCTTTTTCTCTAAGTAACAGAGAACTAAGGCATCTCTGAAAATACTCTAAGACATTGCTCTCCAATTTGAGTACTATACTAGCCTAATAGCAGTGACCATGATGTGAGAGTAATGAATGTTAACATTAGGATTGGGGGATTATGTAAACAATATATTCTTATATTATGGCTATAGTGGTATGTTGTATGATAAGGACTATATAATTATGTTTTGTTTTTTGTTTTTTTTTTTGTTTTGTTTTTTTTTTGGTTTTTCGAGACAGGGTTTCTCTGTGTAGCTTTGCGCCTTTCCTGGAACTCACTCTGTAGGCCAGGCTGGCCTCGAACTCACAGAGATCCGCCTGCCTCTGCCTCCCAAGTGCTGGGATTAAAGGCGTGCGCCACCACCGCCCGGCCTATAATTATGTTTTTTTCACAATGATAGCCACTAGCTTGCTCTCTGGAAGCTCTTCAGAGACCGAGCAGTTCCAGGTCACTGTTTGATGTGGTTCAGATGCGGAAGGGCCTGCTTGAAAGCCTTGCTTTTGGTCAGTGTGTGATGCTGCCTCTATTTTCCGTGTCTAATGCATGTCTGCTCATTTACTACAAAGGCAGCCCACTGAAGGGCGATCTCGTGATGGTGGCTTACGTCTTGGAGAAATGGAACGTGATTGTTTAATCGGCTATGGAGCAAGTATGCTTTTGCTGGAGAGACTAATGATCTCAAGTGATGCCTTTGAGGTTGACGTCTGTGGGCAGTGTGGACTCCTGGGATATTCTGGCTGGTAAGTGGATAGACACCACATCTCTCAGACCACATCCCTTGGCTAGGTAATGGCCCAAGAACTGTCCGTGACCAGACTCAACATACTCTGTAGTCTTTGCCTGTGATCATGTGTGTGCCCCCACTTGTCCAAACATCCCCATGAGTAGATGTTTGTATGTTGTGTCTTTAATGCTGTATTTATACTGCTGTAGTTTAAGCTCCTAAGTAGGACAGATTTTCTCCTAATTTTAATATTATTGCAGGGGCTGAAGAGATAGTTAAGCACTTGTTGCTCCAGGACCTGGGTTCAGTCCCAGTGCTCATATGGTAGCTTACAACCACCCATCCATAACTAGAATTGCAACTTAAAACAAACAAAACCCTTAGGGGAAGTTGTATCAAGATCCATATTGGTAATCTCAGACCCCAAAAGCCAAATTACCCCGTATCTTACAAACAGTGACAAAGCTAGGACAAAGACCTGGTGTGTGTACTGTGCCCCCCCCCATGACAAGTGCCCTGGACTGTCTACTCCATGCTGCACAGACCGTCTCTGTCTCAGTTGCTCACCCAGCATGCATTCAGTATCTGCTGTGTCAGATGCAGCTCTGGGTCCAGAAGAACGGTAGGAAGGAGACATGCCGGCTGCTCCCTGCATTCTGTCTGTCTCACGGATGCACTCTCCCGTTTGCACTTGCAGATGCTCAATGAAAAATGTAACTGCTAAGTGACTCCTCACATTGTGGAACTAACTAATAAGTTCATTATGTAATTTATAAAGTTTTTTATTTCCATGTACAGTCGAGTGTCTAAAGGCCATCTTATGGGTGATGTTCCCTGGGTTATTTGTGTTGTAGAGTTGTAGAACCTTTCTTGTTTGTAATCACTCCACTGCCACCAGCATACAAAAAGATCTGCTTAGGGGTATCAGGGTCTGCAGCCCTGCAGTCCCCGGGTCACTGACAGAGTCTGTGGTCCCTCTGATCCATCGCAGTGTCTAAGATAGACGTTCCACAGATGGAGAATAGCCATGATATCCTACCCCCCTCATTGGCCCTACCCAGAGCCCCTCTTTCTCAGTGTGAAACTAAGTGAGCAGTCATTGCTGGAGTTTGAGGAACGCATGGTCACCTTTTCCTCCCTCCAAACAGTCTTACCTTCTGCCTTTCTTTATAAGCTGCCACTTCTTGGTTAGATCAGGCAGGTCAGGAATCAGCAAAGGGCCAGGCCTGCTAGATGCTTAGAAAGTAAAGGTGCAGCCAAGCGGTGGTGGCACACGCCTTTAATCCCAGCACTCGGGAGGCAGAGGCAGGCGGATCTCTGTGCATTTGAGGCCAGTCTGGTCTACAGAGCTAGTTCTAGAACAGCTAAGGCTACACAAAGAAACTCTGTCTCAAAAAAACAAAAAGAAAGAGAAAAAAAAGTAAAGGTGTACACAAACCTGATGACCTGAGTTCCAGCCCCAGGACCGCATGGGAAAGAGTAGAATCTCACCTATTGTCCTCTGACCTCCAGGTGTACACGGTGGCATGCACAGGCCTACAGACATACACAGGCACACACAGTCATACAAACAAATGGTAGATAAATAGAGTAAATGTTTTGTTTTTTGTCTTTTTTTAAAGAGCAAAGGGACTTCTTAGAGCACAATATATACTTGCTAGCTTGGTAACAAACCTTTTAAGAGATTATTTTATGATTGTAGTGTAGATGAATTGATGAGTGTAGTCAGATGTTTCTCTCCCACCCATTCAGAAGCCAAATATGAATTGTAAGTGCTCGGCCAGTAGCTCAGGCTTATTACTAGCTAACTCTTACATTTAAATTAACCCATTTCTATTAATCTATGTATTGCTACATGGCTCGTAGCTTTACCTGTCCTCTAGCATGTCTTGCTTCCTTGTCTCCCCTCTCTGCCCTCCTTCTTCCCATCATTCTCAGTTTGACTTTCCTGCCTAACTTTCTGCCTAGCTACTGACCTGTCTGCTTTTTATTAACTAATGAGAGTAGTACATATTCATAATGTAGAAAAGGATTGTTCTATAGCATTTTTCCCTTATTGTCTAATTAAAAAAGAAGGTTTTAACCTTAATAAAGTAAAACTATATACAACAAAATCAGTGATTAAGTACAAATTACAGTAATAATATCCAAACCATTAGCATTTGGCAAAATTAGAAAAAATACTTAATTATCTATCTTATCTTGGTGAGTCTAAAGTTTTGTATCTAATTTATCTTTTATCGTAACCAAGAAAACTGTAACTAGCCTATCTAGTCTTCAACTCTATCAAAGACCCCCAAAAGTGTGAAATGTTACCTAATGACAGGGACGTCTCGCTGCCTGGACAGTCACTTAAAGTTCCTCTGTAACATTGGGGCATCTGTCTTTGGCCTACAGGCCTAGTATAGCTGACAGATTTTTCTCGAAGCAGGAAATTATGAAGGACTGTCCTACCATGTCTTGGCATAGTATGGTAGTCACTTTCTTTTATGTCCTGCTGGTCCAGTTTGGTCAGTAACTGTCACAATTGAGGCAAGTTTCTCTGCCCACATGGCTAGCTTTTGCCATGAAGAAAGCAAACTCCATATGGAGCTTCTTTGATACTCGTCACGTCCTTTTAAGTAGGCTGGTGCTGCCAGGAGCAAACCCGTCTCACTGTCATGAAAGACCTTAGGTTATTAAACATATTAAATGCCATATTCTGTAGGTCTTTGAAGTGTTTCAAGACCATCTCTCTAAATATCTCTTTAACCTTGAAAACATACCTAATATGACTATAAGTTTGAATATTGTAGATGGTTATTAATCTGTATTCCTTAATTATGCATTATACTTTTAAATGAGCTGTATAAACACAATACCTTAAACAAAAGTAGAAAAATACATACAGTATAACAAAATTAACTTTAAATTTGTATCAATAAACTAAAATCTATACCAGTGTAAAATATGTAAGATTAATAGTTGGGTTTTTTGTTTTTGTTTTTGTTTTTTTTTTTTGGTTTAAAGGTAGATTCAGTAATCTACCCTTTATCCTGTCATTTCTGTATCCCCCCTTTTCTTTTCAGAACAAGATCCCTGAATCTAATCTCCTTTGTTTAGCTTTTTTCCTGACCATTATCCATAACAACTTGTAACCAATCTCCCTAAAGGATGACAAACATTCATAATTTATTTTTGGGAATGTGGGCATAGTCCTCTAGACTACATCCTGCTAATTGAGGGCACTGGTAATCTTTGGGGGACCCTTGAGAAAATTCAGGATTATCATCAAGTCCTTGAAGCTGTTCTGGATTTAGAACACATAGGAAACTGCAACAGAGGCACTCTGAGATGTTGGATCATCTGGGCCATCCATTCCCACTGGAGATTTGGGAGGGGGGGCGGTAGAGGATGGGTCTTCCTCGGCCAAACCTGATTTTTTCTGAACCTGAAATGAATCCAGAGCCTCTCATTTCCTATAGAAACAAAAGCATAACCTTTTCCTCAAAGTAATATGTCTTTTGATTTAAATTTTGTAGTCAAGATAATTTTAAAATATATAAGTTGGTTTAATATAGCAGTTTCTTTAATCCAAAGCCTCTTAGCAGCCAAAAAATTTAAAGATAACACAGTAATATACATAGTCCAGACTCTGTTTTCCATCTTCATGTGGCTTATTATATTTTTATTCTATTCCTTTTTAAGGACTTTATTATTTTAAAACTATATTTTTTTAATCTAAGACTGTATATATTCTTTTTTTTTTTTTCTTTTCTCTCCCAAGCCTACACATATTTTTAAACACACTGTGGCCCGTCTAGAGGTTCTTTTTATCTGAACCTGTCCTTACTGTGCATCTATAACCTTTTCTGTCAGCATGAGCAAAAAAACTGCTGTGTAGCTTAGATCATGGCATGCTGGTGCTGGCTCCTTCCCCTTGGTTCTCTGAAAGTCTAGTCTCATGGCAAAGGCATGTTTACTTAATATTATTTATAAATGCTCAGCTGATAGCTCAGGCTTGTTACTAGCTAACTCTTACATTTTAAATTAACCATTTCTATTAATCTGTGTATTGTCACATGGCTCGTGGCTTTACCTGTCTTCTTAACATGTCTTGCTTCCTGGGCAGCTGGCTGGCGTCTCCCCTGACTCCACCCTCCTTCTTCCCATCACTCTCAGATTGGCTTTCCTGCCTAACTTCCTGCCCAGCTACCGCCCAGGCAGCTTTTTATTAACCAAGGAGAGTAATATATATTCATAGTGTAGAAAAGGATTGTTCCACAACAGGTGAGTCCTATTTATGAAGAAACTGTTAATTTGGACACAATGGAAAAGTGTCCACTTTTAATTTCATTCTTTCCCTAAGGTCACAGAGTTGGTGATGTTCTTATGAGAATAAGCCTACCCTTTGCTATCAATGAGATGAGGTTTGTTCAGTCTTAGGAAGTCTATTGTCTTCTGAAATGCATATAGAGCATAGTGTGTGGTGTATAACAAATAGACAGAGAGCAATAGCCTTATAGGGTGGGGCCTGGAGCCTAGTTCCCCATCCTTAAACCCTTCAGTCTGGCACAAGAGTTCTCATTTCATCTTCCTTGTATTTCTCCCCTCCTCTGAAAGAAAAAGGAACAGTGAAGCGGTTCCCCAGGCCCAAGCCTTTGTCTCTGTGCTCGGTGCTTGGGTACAGCTGGCATCAGGCTGGACCGACGGCTCTATCTCGTTAAACCTCTGCCTCCTTTGCTGCTTTGCTTCTGTCTAGTGTCAAGCTCATCTGATTGCAGCCCTGATCATGCGTTCAGTGTGCTATCCTTTGAAAGGACTTGATCAGGTCATGTGGTCTGGCGGTCTTTATCTGCAGCTACATAGACCTTAAGACACCGTATGTCTAATTTGAGTGCCCTACTTATACTCTGTTGCCAGCAGAAGAAAATCCTAACCCATCCTGTAGTCTGGCTGCCTCTTGATGAGCTGCTGTCTGGCTGAGCAGCATAATGATGCTGTCATTTTTCCTGTCATTACCTGGTCTGTGCGCCCAGCTGATGGAGGGAGGAAGCACAGCGAGTTGGAGACACTTGCCCTTTAATAAGCCACACAATGGAGGCTGGGTAATTAAGAAGTTCAGTGCCTTGGAGCAGGACCCGTGAGTGACTTGCACATTAGTAAGGCATTGCTATGGGGAGGTTTACAGCAAGACTCTTGTTTCTCAGAGGACCCGGACAGAAGTCACCGGTGAGCCCTATTAAGGGAATCAGCTCGTGGAGGATGCTGCACTGGGCATGCACCTCGGGTGCAGCCACAGCTTCCTCCTCTTGCTGTCCTCGTCCTGGAGATCAGTTTACTTTATTGTTCTTGGTCAGGTTTCTATCTCTGCAAGTAGTTCAGCCATAGAGTAAATTAGCTTACGTATGTATGTATGTGTAAATAAAGAACGTTGGAATGTTTTGAATGGTTATATTAAGAAGATTAATTGGTTATTCAGGCTATGAATCAGCACATATGAAAATTATAACTAGATTAACCGAAATTGGAGCCACCATATATATACAGGATAGGAAAACCAGGAAGAAGGTACCCCAGTTCAGTCTGTTTCCCCAATTTAATTAAAGTAGTATATGGGTATGATTCCTGAATAGTTTGGACCCACACAGCACATTAAAAACATGTCTTGATTCTAATGCTTTAAAGAAGTCTTTGGGCTGTCTTTTAAGAGATTTTATGTTGCTGAAGTTTCTATCATCACTGTGTCTCTGCTGTCAGCATCGGGGATGGTGCAGCTTTCTCCCACCGGACCCCCCCACCAGGGGTTCTGTCCCGTAGGTCACTATCACCATGTAAGTTCTCATCCCCAGTATTGGCTCTGCTTTTCTGAAGTTTAAACAAGGGAAAGAGTATGATGTCAGTCTCACACTTACCTCAGGACCCGGTAGATGGCATGGGATCCGCTGCAAGTTTGAAGCCAGCCTGGTCTGCATGGCAGGTCAAGGATGCACCAAGGTTCTGAAGCAAGCCTCTGTCAATAAAATAGGATTAAATACAGCACATAGGCGCGTGCGTGCGCACACAAACACTCACACACAAAAGCAAGCAGTCGCTATAGAAATAGCCCTTGCTCAAAGTTACAAGTCCGGGTACAGACATTCCCACCTCCCAGAGATGACTGCTGGTATAATTGAGTGGCAGTGTCCTTGGAGCATGGCTGATTGCCCTTTCTCTTCAGTTTTTACTTACTTTTTAAATCGTAAAGCCTCTCAAGATTTTGATAATAGAAGAAGATCCAAATGTGAACCTTTAAAAAAAATGAAAAGACCTCATGCAGCCTAGGCTGGCCTTGAACTTATGATCCTCTTGCTTCTCCTCCCAGGTGCTAAACTTACAGGACCATAGGAATGCACCATCACATCCACTCAAATATATACGTTTTTTTCTTTGACATTTATTCTTAGTTTTTGTATTTATGTATTAACTACAGATGCCATTGGGTACTTACAGAGGTTGCAGGTCTTGGTCGGTCCCTTGTCCCCCGTCCCCCGTCACTCCCGTGGGACCTAGGGATCAGACTCATCAGACTAGGTGAAGGCGCCCGCTGAGTCGGCTCGCCTGCCCTGGCTTCTTCTCCCTCTCCTTTTAGTGGGTGCTTTCCCTGCTAGCAGTCTGTGGAGGCCAGAAGAGGAGGTCAGATTCCCTGGGACTGGAGTTCCAGATGGTTGTGAGCCGTCGTGTGGATGCTGGGACTCAAACACATGTCCTCTGGAAGAGCAGCCAGTGTTCTTAACCATTGAGCCGTCTCTCTAGTCCTCCTTACTTTTGCATCTTACAAGTCTTTTCAAACCTCTGATGTGTTTGGGGCTTAGAGATCCATCTGAGGGAGCCTGGGTATTGTCTTGCTAATGGGTATTTTACTCTACAGTGTATCCTGAACATCTCCCGTTTCCATGACTGTGAGTCTGCTGTGACGTTGAGTGACTAGAACACTCTTCTGTATAAATCTCCTAGAATGAGAACCAGCTGGTTCTCTGAGCTCCAGCTCTGTGGTCTTGTTAATAGCCTCGCTGTGGACACTCTTCTGAGTCTTCTACTGGAAAACCTGGAAGGACAACTCACGTCCTCCCCAAGGGACCTTCCGTAGTCATAGATTAGGAGTGGGACCAGAAGAGGGCGAAGAATCTGACACAGTGTGGCTAGCATGTTGGCTGGGGTGCAGGCTGTTGCAGGGGTCAAGTGGAAATATTGGCATGTACATATACACATTTCTCAGGTTTTTGCAAGGGATGGCTTACTGTAAATACTGACAGATAGACCAGTCCTGAGGCCACTGCTGCTCTCCTATTTAAAAGGCTTCTTTTTCATCAGACTTGACGTGCCTCAGTGGTAGGAACTGAATTTTTTAGTGAGTGTGTTTCAGAGAACAGTGTGGTACAGAGATGCCCCCAAACACTATGTGGATTGGTGGATTCAGCTGAAAACTCCAACAGAGAAACAGCTGACTCAGTTCCTGGTGGTTCCAGTTTCTGGGATTCTTTCAAAACAGTTTGACGCAAATGTATTCCCTTTTGAAGAGAAAGCCCTAGAAATGTGGATGGACTCAAGTTGCATACTTTTAAACTGCAGAGGTTGGTTTGTATCATTCTTGACTTTGAGTCCACAGATGTCCCTCTAACTTTGGAGCCATCAGTCCGTGTCTGACAGGGATGGGCTGCCGGGGAGAGGGACGTAGCGTACTGTTCCCTTAGTTGCCGCCCCTCTGATGCATGCTGACTTGGGTTTCAGGTGCCACTACTGCAAGTCGTCCTGCCACGTGTCCTCGCTCCGCATCCCGTACGCCTGCAAGCTGCTCTTCCAGGAGTTGCAGTCCATGAACATCATCCCCAGGTTGAAACTGGCCAAGTACAATGAGTAAGGATGGGACACGGCCGGACTCTGAGTGACTTCTGAGAGTCAAAACAAAGCTGAGAGGAGGAGCAGCAGCCTTCTGGGTTCCAAAAGGCTGACTGGACAGCCTTGACCAAGAGCTTTGATTCACGGGAGATGCCGGCCCCACAGACCGCAGCCTCGTGCCGATTCACAGGGGCACACAAGCTAGAGAGGTTATGAACTGCTGTTGATTTTCTTTTGATTTGAGTTAGAATCTCACTCTGTAGTCCAGGCTGGATTTGAGCTCATCCCAATCCTCCTGCCTCCATCTCTCACAAGTGCTGGATTTACAGGTATGAGCAAGCATGCCTGGCTTATTTATGTTGTTACATTTTAAAATGTACTGATTTAGAAAAACCTTCCTTACAATTCCCCGTGACATCTTCTGGTTAACAGAACTCTGGTTTCTCATCAAATGTGCAGGAGGTAAAAAGTTGTATCTGTTGGCGCAAACATGAAGCCGAGTTCATCCCCAGCGACCCACATAAGAGCTGGACATGCACCTAGCACCTGTGTGGGTCTGCTGCTGTGGAGGTGGGGTCGGGAGCAGCCAGGCAGGTCCTGAGCTTGCAGCCAGTGTAGCCAGTCAGGGCACTTTAGGTTCAGTGACAGATCCTGGCTTAAGAACTGAAGCGGAGAGTGGTGAGGAAGACTCCCAGTGTCCACCTCCGGCCCCACGCACGTACGGATAGTTAGACTTGTTGGAAGAAGTAAACGACACCCAGAGGGTGACACATGGGCTCTCTGGGGTGTGGAAGGGCCAGCGGTTACATCAAGTCTCACACACTGAGACTTGAGTCTTGGTGGGATGTGATCAGTGCAGCCCGCCTTACAAGAATGTCCTTCCTTAAATACCAGATGGCAGTTATTTTGAACCTCCAAAATACCTGGGTACAGTGTGTGGACACGTGGTCATGCCTGTCCCTTCCATTCCTACCAGGATGTTAATTGTCCATTCTCCCAACTGTTGTACCCTGAAGCCCAATAAATATTTGTACTAATGATTATTTATATTAAAAAATAAAAGAGTCCAAAACATTGAGTAATGAATGGTCCGGGCTCTGTTCTCAGCATCGTGCCACATGGAAATGCTCCTGAGATTACTGACAGGTCTGTGCACTGCAGAGATCAGACTCCAGTGTGAACAAGAGGCTGAGGGGCCCCAGGACTTTTCAGACCACCGCTCACCCCAGGCTAAGACAGGTGGCCCAAGGGACCAAACTAGGCACTGACCTGAAGACTCACCCATCTTGTGTTCCTCACAATAAAGACGTGGAAGTCGGAACAGCTGCTCAGTCCAAGCAGAGGAGGCTGTGAGCGGGCAGCGTTCCTTCAGTGTGTGTGACGTCAGAGGAGGCACCACGTGTTCCCTGAAAGTCGGCTGTTCCCTGCTTCATCGTACCTTTCTCCATATTGATGGCCCCTCCACATCACTGTACTTGGGCTGTGTGCTTCCTTGGTCCGCAGAGGGATTTTTTCCTGCGGTGATCTTGATTCCACCAACTCCATCAAGGTTGGTAATCCCGCAGTGCCGGGCCGCGTTGTCACCGAGCACTCAGGTCCTTTGGGAGGAGTAGGCGGTGTTCTGGGTACTAGCACCAGGACATGTCGCTCAGCACTCAGTACGATGAATGGATGCACTGTATTGGGGTAGAAGGAGCAGAACATGCTTCTTGATGAACGTGGAGTCCAGGAAGGTGGGCCAGTCTGTGAGCAGACCGAACTCAACTCATGGGTGTTGTACAACACCCATGCACACTGAGCCACGCTCACAAGCTTGAAGCACTTTTCAGGGTGATTAGCTCCCTATTACAGCCAAAGAAACTGGGACAGAGTAGCCAAGTGGCTCCCTAGACCACACCACCACAAGGGGTGGCAAGAGCTCCAAAGCCCCGGGCTGTTTGGCTTCATCCACGATGCACCCCAAGTGTGTTAGATGTTTCCTGCAGACGAGAGGTGTGATCACCCGGACAGTCGCTGCCTGTCTGGTGGAGGAAACGACAGTGCTCCGAGTTCACACCACTGAGGCGGCTTCGGGTCTAAACTGACATCAGTCACAGGAAAGCAGCGGTTTCAAAGCTAGCAGAGGGCACCCTGTGAGCTGTTTGAGAACGTCAGTGAGGAGACGGCAGCGCTGGGCTGTGGCGCCGTGGTGGATCACTTGCCCAGCACCCCGTTTAAAGTTATTCTCGGCCCCTGCTTTAAAAGCTACCAATTAGATCCTATTTTTAGTAAAGATGGATGATTTCCTACAGGCCGCCCATGAAGCGCCTTCCCCTGAGGGAAGGGTGAGAGTGGCATGCGATGCGGTGGGAGTCTCACCCAGACTCACCCTCGCGGAGGCTTCAGCGGAGCCAAGGGGCTGCGGAGACTCTCGGGTGTTGCCAAGGTACCCGACCAGACGGGCTGACATCGCGCAGGCACGGGGAGAAAGCTCGCTGAGTGACTCGGACCTTCACTGCCCCCTGGGTCTGTCGGCTCAGGCTGCTGTGGCCGAGTACCACAGGAGGGGGGCTGAGGTGACGGGTTACTTTCTTAGTTACGAAGGTTCCTGTCAGCCAGCACCTTGAGTCCCCGGTGGCTTCTCCCTGGTGCACACTCAAAGCACACTTGGGCACCACTTCTCAGGACACCAGCCCCGCTGGTTAGCAGCCACTCGTCCGACATCACTAGTTCTCTAAAGGGGCTGCTCTCTGGATACGGCACAGCGACAGGGCTTCGGCATGGAGACTGAGGAGACGGCTCAGTCCGTTGTACCCCTCGAGACATTTGAAACAGTTCAGGACAGGACAAGCAGACCTGTGGGAAGTACCTATTCAAACCCAGTCACCAGAACAGTTCACTCCTAGATTTTGTGTGTGTGTGTGTGTGTGTGTGTGTGTGTGTGTGAGAGAGAGAGAGAGAGAGAGAGAGAGAGAGAGAGAGAGGGGGGGGAGTGTGTATGTGGATGCATGTGTGTGAGGATGTGTTGTGTGTAACAATGAGAGTATAGGGGGTGTGACTGAGTGTGGGGTTGTAAGTGTGACCATGTGTGTGCGTGCATGTGGGGGGGGTCAGTGTCCCCTGCAACATTGTCATAGCCCCAGGTTTTACAGAACCCCTACCTACTAACAACACTAAATTACAGTATGTCATCACAGAAGAACACCTAGGATGATGAAAATGAGTTGCTACTGCATGTAATATCAGTCATCTCAAAAAAATTAATTACTGGAAAAGCCCCCAAAGTTTATATATTTTGTTGGTTCTTTTTGGCCTTTGGTGGTGCAGGGAGGAACAGTCTCATGTAGCTCAGCCAGGCCTTGAGTTATCTTGACTTCTGATTCTCCCGCCCACACCTCCTCAGTGCTGGGTTGCAGCACCCCACCATGCCTGGTTTATGTGGTGCTGAGGATCCAACCAGGGCTCCACGTGCCACACCAACTCCAGTGTCGTCCGTGTGACATGAACAATTATGCCAATAATAGCAGACGGGAGATACGTGTCCCACGGGACTAAGCTCCCTGGAGGTCCCTGGCAGAGTGCCTATGTTATGCCTCCTTCTCGAAGGAGACGTGCTTCACAGATCATGAGTTCTCTGGGCTATGGGTTCTGTATAACTGCTTTTCTGATAATGTTCTAATTAATCTATAAAACACAGCCAAAATTAATGAATGCTTGGGTTGTGAACTGTGGAGGAAAGGGGAAGCTGGACATGAACCTTATTTAGATATAGCAGAATCAACTATTCCTTAAAGACCTCAAGCCTCAAGCCGCTAGATAATAGAAAGTATAATAGTTCAGGAACTTCTAGGGAATGAACACTCACCCACTAGGAATCCTTTAGGAATCCCAACTAAAGTGATTTATGGCAGAAAACATTATCTTATAGGAGGCAGATAGTGGGCCCCTCTGTTGAGGAAGTTCAGCATGGAAAACTTAAGGACTACAGCAGAACCCCTTCCCCTTACAGGTGTAAAAGTACAAGAGTCCATATTCCAGCAGGTAAAAAGGTTTTATATTAGAAGAGATATATGATAAAGAACTAAAGAAAGACTTAGGGAGGATCTGCAACATCCAAATTGGCTAAATGGGTCATGAGAACCAGAAAAGTAAAAATGAATAATAAACTAGCGAGTAGCTGAGATAAAGATGAAGGACACAGCTGCAAGAAGCCTACACAAGTCTAGGAACTGTACTAAGTTTAAAAAAACACAGACTGCTCTTTGGGTCATAAAGTTCTTGTGAGTGAAGGGATATGTCTAGCGCCGATTAATAACTGTGTGCTTGATGTTTTTTAAAAGATGATGTAATTGAAGTATTACCAAGCTCTCATTGTTCCTTGTATGACTTGATAGTTTTCTTTTCTGTATATAAACTACTGATTTGCAGAAGTAAAATTGCAGCAGATTCAAACCACTTTTGAGTGTGTTTGTTGTCTGTCTGTCAGTCGCCGAATCCTTGCCTTCCTGACTACCCAAGCCCTGATTCTCCTACGGTCATGGTACTCCCGGTGGGCCAGTCCATGGCATCCATGCATGCTGGGCAAGCAGACTGCCAACTGAGCTACATTCCCAGGCTCTTTTGGTTCAAATTAGGCAGAATTGATCTATGAAATGAAGTCGTGTGTGTGTGTGTGTGTGTGTGTGTGTGTGTGTGTGTGTGTGTGTGTGTGTAAAATTCCTTAAATTGCATGTTCAGGGACTGGAGAGATGGCTCAGCAGTCAAGATTCCCAGCACCCACATTGGGAGGCTCACAGCAACCTGTAACTCCAGCTCCAAATGATCCAGCGCCCTCTTTTGGCCTCTATGGGCACTGCACTAATGTGCACATAAGCACACACACAAAATAGGAAGTTTTTTAAAAAGATATATAATTTTTGTATTGGGTTTATGTTACTCTTTAATACCTTTTTTAAGCCTACCAGGTAACTCAGCAGTTAAGGACACAGGCTCAGCCTCATGGCTACACGATCTCAAATTGTCTCTGCTCCTTGCGTTTTCCATCTTCAGAATAGAGGGATAATAGTACCATCCAGGGACTCTTTGTTTTTCCCTTTTTCAAAAAAAAATTATTCTATACGTCTTTTACATCACGGGTCTTGATCCCATTCATTTCCCTGTCCCTTTGCATCTCCCTTCCACCCCTGCACACACACACACACACACACACACACACACACACACACAAAATTGAAGGGTAAAAATAAAAATCTCATGGGAGCTGCATGTGACAGTGAGTCCATGTATCTTTACTTGCAAGTGTCCAGTGTTCGTTGCAAAGAGTCATTGGTCTGGTTCGAGGCCTCTGGTTTCCACTGCACTATCAATGCTGGGTCCTCACTAGGACTCTTGGACATCCTGCTGTTGCCCTGGGCTGTGGAGGTCCTGCAGCTTTGGGGCTGCAGTCAGGCTCCTTCACGTGCTCCATCAGATCATAGCTGGGGTGGATGTTGGGGCTGGCCAAGTCGTAACTTTGGTTCTGGCAGCTGTAGGGCTGTCCTCACCACCAGGGTGAGCTCTCCAGCACTGTCCATGCTAATTCACCTGCAGCAGTGAGCGAGGGGTGGGTCAGTTCCCCTCCCACACCCTCAGGGTCAGCTCTCCCACACCTGCACCATCAGGGCCAGCTCTGTTGTGTTACCCAGGCGAGGAACAGGGGCCACTCTTCTTTGAGTGCTGTAGCTGATGAGGGGCAGGGACAGCCCTCCTGCTCTTAGGACCCCCTGGGGCTCTTCTTAAGATTATATGTGAGTATGCCTGGCCCCAAACAGAGACTGCTGTTTTCATCAGGAACAGCACCCTTTGTCACGTGTCTTGGCAGGACATTGATTCCCAGGGAGCTTCGTCAGGCCGAGATCCCACAAAGAGTGAAGCTCACTGGGTGACTGGTCCTGAGGCCCCTGGGTTCACAGTTCAGGCAGCAGTGGCCAGACAACACAGGCAGGCCACCCTGCTTCCTAACCAGGAGGAGTGACAGCGATAGTCGATAGTCGGACATGCTTGGAATCGCTGCCGCTCACCACTGACATCAAAGTGAGGTGAGTTGTCAGCGCTGGAGACGCAGCGGTTTCCTGAAGCCCAGAGAATGCTTCCATGTGGGGAGCCAGCGAGCGCCGTTCCTAACGAGGCCCTGATTGGGTGCTACATAATGGGCTCCGTTTGGCCAACACCTTTATTTGCAGTAATGAGTCGCACAAGACCAAACACTTAAGGGCATGTGGCTGGGCCCCTCCACGTGGCCTCCGCCCGGTCTGCTGTGAAATGGATGGTCAGAAAAGCAACTGTAAAAGTCACACCTCTCCTCTCTGGATTGATTCCATGTGTGTCTCACCAAAACGTGTATTTCATTTGTCGACTGCAAGGTGGACTTTTACTACCCCAGACCGTGGGGCCGAGATGGGTGGGAATTCAAAGTCACGCTTCTTTGAAGAGGAAGTTTTAAACGGGGTGAGAAGTGGCGGTCCAGAAGTACATTGTTGGTTGCCAAAGCCAAGCTACCAGTTTGATTTGAGACTCCAGAAGCACTAACAGATTGGCTGCAGGAAATCAAATCTGTGTCTTGGGATATCATGGCAGAAAGTTCCAAAACGATGCGGAACTAACCTTTTCACTCATAAGGCTAAGTTGTGAGGTGAAGTACTCTTCAAGTCTGCGTAATAGCTGCCATTCCACGCTCAATAAATTCTAAGCCGGATTTGCTTCCACGTTAATGGAGGGGAGGAGGGATATTAGAAAATTAAGGCAGGTGATGGGTCCAGAATCCTTTGCGTCCGGTGCGAGGAAGGAATTTCACTTTCAGTAAAACTGGAGTGGTAGCATGACTTTGCCTTGTTCATAGTGACACTGCATTGGGAGAAGCTGGAATACCTAACACCCCATACTAGTGACAGAGCCCTGGAGGACGGGGCAGCCTGCCACAGTGGGGATGCTTGTAGGCCAGGGATTCTCCAAGAGTTCCAACCAGGTACTCAAACATAAAGACCCAGGAGTTGTGGCCCTGTAGGTGGTTCTGGTGATACCCAAAATTTCAAGTCCAGCTAAAGCAACGCTGCACAGCCCACCCTCCTGTCCAGCTAGCCCTGGGATGTGTAGGGGTGCCAAGGCATCCTCTCAAACACCTTGGAAACTAACTCCCTGCTTGACTTGCACTTTCGTGTCCTCTTGGCCTGCCCTGCCCTCCCACTAGTCCTCATCCCACTTGATACTTTCCCAGCTGCTCCTCCGTAGAAGGCGCTGTGTGGAGAGTCACGGCAGATAGCTGTCCTCATCCCACTTGATACTTTCCCAGCTGCTCCTCTGTAGAAGAAGGCGCTGTGCGGAGAGTCGCGGCAGATAGCTGTCCTCCAGAACCTGCCCTGTCCTCCAGAACCTGCCCCGTGGCTTCCCCGGCACCTACTGCTTTCAGACTTCAGCCCCCAGGTTCCCTTCCATGACCCACCTGAGCTTCCAACCATCCCGCAGCCTTCCTGAATGTGGAGAAGCTCGCAGCTGGTCCACCCCAGCTGCTCTTTTCCATCCCGTCCCCATCCTTGAAGGAGAGACAAAGTCACCTCTCTAAGTCAGTGCAAACGTGGCCTCCTTAGGCCATAGAGAGAATTTGAAGATGGATTTCTCAATTCTTCAAGGTGGCCGAGCCTGAAAGAGCCAGGAAGCACAAAGTGAGTTTGTGCTTTCCCAAGTGGAGGAAAGTGTTGATACCAGCGCACATGAGGAGGAGGCCCTGGGAAAGCCCTACGTTGTCTGCTACTAAGCTGAGCCTCAGCTTTCTCATCTTCAAGAGAATCTGCCCTCCCTCCCCGCCCCACCCAGGCTCCTACTGGAGTAAAATGGAGACTCACCCCATTTTCTGGTCAGGAAACATGCAAAGAAGCACCTGCCCCATGCTAGGCAGTGGGACCAGCTTCCTGCTCTTTATACATGTATGTGTCCAAATAGACCTAGTGCATCCACCGAGGTACCAGTGATGTTTGGGGCTGGGTGATCCCTTGCTGGGGGAAGCTGCACTCTGCCACTGTAGGATGTTCGGCCACACCCTGTGCCTGAACTCACAGGATACCCTTCATCTGACAATCAGACATTGCCAAGTATTCCTTAAGGGACAAAATTACCTCCAGGTTAAAACCACTGACCGAGGCAATATTCTGAAAGTGGTTTGTATGTTTAAAGCAATGGGAACAATAGTAAAAGTGTAGTTGTGGGGCTGTGATGGTCCAGTGGATGAGAGCACTGGCTACTCTTCTAGGGGACCTTAGTTCTATTCCCAGGACCACATGGCAACTCACAACTATCTGTGACAC